GCTCTTGCCTTAGGCGACTAGCGCCTGAAAATATCTGCCTCGGTGTCTCGTAGGGGGTCTCATACATATACCAGTCCGTGCCGAACCTTGAATTTGAGAGAATGCATGAACGATGCGACGCCTAGCGGCGTCGCTGCAAACTGCCGGTAATACAGTTACCGCGCTGGCGTGATGATGATGCATGTGCCACTGGTAGCGCGAACCGCTACATTTACCATTGACAAATTTCCATTACAATTCACACTGAACAACATTGGCTGAAGGTAGAAAAATTCTATACAAAATCCTTCATGAGTTATTGGCAGTTTCCATTACGCCTGTATGGAAAAGGTTGTTATTCGAATCTTGCCATTGTGTTTCCATTCATCTTATTGCCACTCAATATTTTCCATTAACTTTTCCATATAATTCGCATTGCAAGTTCCATACACAAGTTTTAACCTTCATAAGCCATTAGCAGTTTCCATTACGCCTGTATGGAAAAAGTTGTCATTCGAATCTTGCCATTGCGTTTCCATTCATTTTATTGCCACTCAATATTTTTCATTAACTTTTCCATATAATTCGCATTGCAACTGTAGGGCAACTATACATTCCCACTGACCGCCATTGAGCACTCAAGGGCACATTTTCATAAGGGGGGAGTGCTAATGAAACTTCTCTAGCTATAAATATTTCATGTACCTTATACCTTGCATTTTTATGTAGCCAGCTCTCCGTCTAATAGAAGTAATGAAAAAATTAGAAGAGGAAGAACCAACAAAAACGATAACAGCATCGAAAAAATAGCGTCAGCTCTAAACGAATTGGCAAAGGCACCATCAATAATTCCACCTCCATTCCTCGCTCCTTTACCACAAAACACTCCGCAGTCAAAATTGACTTTGAAAGAAAAACAATTCGAGATTTTCTACAATTAATGGAGTCCTTGATGCTGAGTATACCCGATGCTGATCTCGACAATGTGCTCTTCAGTATCCACAAAACTGTACATAAAGCAAAAAATAATCGCACAAAAATATTAAAAAGAATTATGTATACTGCGCGGTCTGCGCGTCAATGATTCCTTTTCCGAGGTAAGGGGGAGACACATAAATCTAGAGACGCTATTATGGTTATTTCTATTAGTCTATTACTAGAATTTCTATATGTTCCCCTATTACCTCAGGAAAAGAATCATTGACACGCAGTGTACGCAGTTTATTATATTTCAATACATGTTTATTTATTTTATTTTATTTTCAACAAAATGTTATTACAAATTTCTAACAAATAAAAATTGTTTCTTTAAAAATAAAAAAATGTGTGTGAAAAAATTTATTTTCTTTAATTTAGTCAATTGTATTATTAACGATAAATTTGGCGAAATTGCCAAGGTACTACTTTTTCATTGGAAAAACTTTGTGAATTTTTTTTGTACTTGTAAAGCTTCTCGACTTAATACTGCTTGATTTGGTTGATTTAAATTTTGAAATAAATTATTTTCAGATGTATCATTTCAAATACTTGGAATTACATCTCCATTTCTTGTTTCTCTATCTACCATTGACTTGCAAAAATATGTCGACTCTTCCTTTTTTATTAAATAATTATGGAGACATATCGTTGCTTTTACAATAGCTTCAATTGTTTCTATATTTGCGCCTATTGTTCTTCGAAGTATTCTTCATTTTGCAGTAAAAATTCCAAATGTATTTTCAATAATTCTTCGAGCTCTCGATAAACGGTAGTTGAAAATTCTTTGATCAAGTGACAATTTGTTATTTTCAGGATAAGGTGTCATTAAATATGTTGTCAAGGAAAATGCTTGATCTCCAACTGCAACAAAGTGAAAAACATTATCGCTGTCCAATACAGATACCGGATTTGGCACTCCCATTCTGTCTTCTTCAAAATATTTTCTCATTTTCGATCGTGAGAAAATACCACCGTCGCTCTGGCGCCCAGTAGCTTCAATATCCAACATCGTAAATGCGTAACGATAATCACATATAGCCAATAACACTTTACTATGAAATCCTTTGTAATTATAATATTCAGAACCAGCACCCGCGGAAGCCTACAAAAGAAAATAGAACAAGATATTTTTTTTGTTTCTTTTTTTAAGTCACGAAACTTTTACTTGTATGGGAATGTGTTTTCCATCGATTGCACCAATACAATTAGGAAAATTCCACTGAGATTCAAATCCTCTTCCAATTCCTTTCCAATCTTCAGTTGTTGGCAATTCTAAAACAGATGCTCGTAATTTATTCCATAATGCTGTACATGTTTCGAAAATTATATTAAAAACAGTAGATTTTCCCATTCGAAATTGGGAAAACAATGAAACCATACTGTCTCCAGAAACAACATATCTGAAAAGAAAACAAATACATCGCAAACTGACATGTACATTAAATTATAATTAAAATCTTACAATTATTTGCTGTACCTTAGTGTCAAAGCCAATCGCTCGCCAACAGATATAGGTCGGCGTGCTATGGTTTCACGTGTTCTTTCAGTGCTAGGCCCAACTAACTGAACCAATACTTCAAAATGTGCTGCTGACATTCTGAAGTAACTAGTAAACAATTCTCTATTCGTGAGCAGCAAAGGAAACAACGAAGCATAATTACCATGTACGCGACGACTCTTTACTATTGGAGACTCCCAATATCGTTTCTTTTTATATGGTTTTTGTTTTTTTTCTTGTAAATGTTTAATTATTACAGGCATTACAAGCGTTATTGCTTTCTGTAATTTTCTTCTATGATTATTCACACAATTTATATAATTGCAGTACCAGTCGTAATATGTTTGTGTTAAATTATCCATAATTGACGCACGTCGTCGACAATTGTCGCTGAAACATTAAATAATTTTTATGTTTTAATTCATTTATTTAATCAATTAATTTAGGTTTCCTTATTTTTCCTATAAAAATTAAATTTGCAAAATTTGGTAAGCATTTTAATCAAAAAATTAAAGGACCCCGCACAAAACCACGTGAAAAAGCCGTTCTACCGATTTGTGTGTGTGTGCGGGGTCCTTTGCAAAATTTAATTTTTTGATCAAACTGCTTACCAAATTTTTAATTTTGCACTTTTTTATAATCTTATAAGTATATCCTTTGCCTAAACTCATAAGTAATTGAAAAATTTTTTGGTTTTTTGTTTCAGACCGCTACAAAAACGTGACGATGGCAGCCTTTTTCCACCTTGCGCAAAAGACGCCAAATTGTGAAGTCTGTAACGCCGCCATTTTCTTTTGTAAAAAAATTTTTTTTCAGTGTTTGACTTATAATTAAAGTATGCCAAAAGTTGAAATTGATGCGATTATTTTATTACCTTTAAAAAAATTGTTCAAAAATAGCTTATTTTCGTGCTTCTACTTATAGCGTTTTTCATTGGCTGAGCTGGTGCGCATTCAGTGCACATTAAAGCCGTCGTACACAAACCAACGTAAAGTGTATGTTTAATATAAACGGGTTAAATCATGAAATCCTCAATATTCTTTATTGCACTATTTGGTAAAATATGTACTGGGTATTTTATCAGTCGAAATATTTGCATTTTACTTTAAATATTAGAGATTAAATCAGTGTACAACGGCTTTAATGTGCACTGAGTGCGCACATGTTCTGCCAATGAAAAACGCTATTAGTCTTCTCCTTTTAAGTTCTCTAATAACCACTAGAGTCGTTGTGATCGATGTTCACGTTGTGGCGAAGGACGCCGGAGGTCGGGAGGGACATCCGTCATGTGAAATTTGGCGGAGTGGTTTTGTGTCAACTTCGTAGTCTCGACATTATGGGTTCGAATCTCCGTGTCCTTAAGTTTTTTTTTAATCCTTTCACAAAGCAATGTGATAAATAATAATGCTTTAAATAATTTAAGACTATAAATTAATAAAATATGTGTATAAAATAAATACGAGTTTTTATTCTGAAAATTAAGAACAAATAAAAATATCTTTTTATATGTTTATTTTTATCCTTTTTCTTTTATTTTTGTGGGTATTCCAGGTTGTCAATTCAAGGTAAGTATAACGAATAAAAATCAACTCTTTCATTTTATCTTTTTTTATTTTATTTTTAAAATTCTTGCAGGTATTTTTGTTTTTAAAATTAAGTATACTTAGATACGAGAGAAAATATAAATCAATCCTTCAATTTTTGCCATTTTATTTTATTTTTTACAGGTATTCCGAAGTTGAAATGGACAGTGTTTGGCTGCAATCAAGAAAATATTGCAAGGTAAGAAACGATGATATTATTGAGTTAGGGTCAAAGCACGTAATATTGCGTAGCGATAAATGACTGTCATATAGTTGACTAATGAATAAAGTGCTTACGTTTCGCTTACAAAACTTACTTGTTACGAAGTAGATAATACAATCGAGGATAAGGGAAAGGGCATAATCATGTTCAGAATGAGGATTAATGACATCTTCCGCCTCCCAATCGTCATGTTGCAATACAAGGTCGAGTTTTTCCTTTATTTTTCGCACATATTCCGCATTTTTGCCCTCACGTTTGTTGCCGTAAATTGCTTTGATTTCACTAATAGAGATCAACGTCGCCGGTCTCGTATCAGACGAAACCGTGCAATTACCATATTTTGGAAGCTTAATCACGCTATACACCGATAGCAATTTATACAATTGTAAAAATGTTGGGCAATTTGGATGATCGTTGCATCCCGCGCATTGGCGTATAGTGCCAAAGAATTTCTAAAAGAGGCAAGTAGTTGTTCATTGTAGAACAGGTAAGTACATGTAAAATTTATTGGTAATACAATAAACATATCATTAAATAAGAAAAATATACATTACCTCTAAGTTATCCTGATTAACTTTTCCAGTCAGCAGGTACTTGAAATCGAATTTGTCAATCAGATAAGCGCAAAGGTCCATTGTCGATCGAAGAGATATTTTTAATCCTCGTGAAGTTTCGACAGTAAAAAATTCTTCTGCTGTGATATCTTTTTCCGACACTGCCAATTCCCATTCATTCAACCACCGCAATGTATCTTCTAGAACCTAAGAATTACGTAATAATTAAAAAATTGTATGTAGTATTATCGCTATTTTATTCTTAATTATGCGACCTAAGTTATTTTTGTACCTTAAAGTCATTACAATGCGGCGTGAGCCCTTGATTTGGCAATTTGCGATTCATTGCGTCAAACATGCCGTTCATGCGTTTACAAAAGGAAATTGTTTCTTCACACCCGCTGAGTTCTTCGCACCCGCGTAACAAATAAAACGCGAGCCCATCAGCTATGGAGTTGCTGAATATCTGTAACATAATAAAAAGTTTTTGACTAATTCATAAAATTTAAAACGGCCTGAATAAGTACCATATTTTTTGTTACACACAAATGTACCTGAGTAGCCAGTCTGACTCGCATTTTCGATGTGTTGTCCAGCACAATATGTCTATTCGTTATTTTTGGACATACTCGTGCATCTCCTGGATGATTCTTATCCAGATTAAACAACGTTTGGAAATACTTCCAACAAACGTAGTCATCTGTAGATTTTACCTAGAGAATAATGCCAACTATTTATTGACCTACGTATTGTATGTAACTTACATTATGAATAATGGTGGGCATCACCTTTCAATTCTTTTAAGTCTTTCAGGTTCATAAATAAAATTACAGAGCCCCAAAATCCGGCTTTCGTGGCGTTAATATTTTTTTCTTATTTTTTAATAACATAAGTGAAGTAAGATAAGCACGGATAAGTGAAAATTCTATTCTTAGTGGAACGAAATTATCAACAATGATAAAGCCTTTGATATTTTCTTTCCGCTTTTCCAGAATATAGTGGTAGATATGTATGTCGAATATTTTTTTAAGTTTTTATCTTTTTTTTTCAGGTATTATGGGTTTCCTAAGAAGGTAGGTATATATTTATTTTCATGCAACACATATTTTTTAGGATCTCCGGGATTTAAAGAAAGATATGTATTCATTTTTAATTACACTTTTTTTCAGGTGTCTCCAGGATTCCAACTAAGGTATGTATGTATTTCTATATAATTTTTTTAATTGTCAGGGTAGCTATTATGTAACTTTATCCTTAGAGTGGAAACGTAAAAAGTGAAAAATTTCATGTGATTATTTTTTTCTATTCGACACTAATAGAAAAAGATAGTTACATGAAACCTTTCACTTTTTACGTTTCTATCTTACAAGAAAAGTTACGTGATTGCAGCCCAGATTCTTTAAAATTTTAAGAAAAGTATATATCAATTAAATTTTTGTTTTTTTGACACGTTACCTTTCAATTTTTTTATTGTAATTATATATTTTTTTATTGTAATTATTTCCTCAACTTGTTATTTTATTTTGTAGGAATGGTATATATGCAGATGCCCTTTAATATCTTTCTCATTATTGTCGCTAGTAAGCATAAAACTACAGATTATCATCTTACAACTTACCCGCAATTTTCTCTTGTTGTACAACCGGTTTCGGATGTTCTTGATGACGTAGCAGATATCGGAAAAGACGAATACTTTCCGATTGTCGTCCAAAGGGTGAGTGAACCACGTTTTGGTATTTTCTATCGTCCCTCTGACACCCAAAAGCGACCACATTTTCGCGTTTGTTGCAGCACTGTCGGCAATAACTCCGTGGATTATCGCTCCGCATTGTTCCAAATAGGGAATAGCTTTAACGACAATTTTCGCGAGTTCTTCTCCTTTTACGGGATTTTTAGAAACAAACACTGCAATTGGCTGTGTATATACATCAGCAAGTGGCTGGAACATGAGGACAAGATTGTGTGTTGCCTGCTCGTTTATGTCTGTGGATTGTTGCCCATCATCACCAAAGTCGGTTAAGCCCAGGTAAGTTAAATTTCTGGAACAAACTGCCACAGACTTCCTGAAGTTTATTTCATCGAGCAGTAAAACCCCGTGACGCTGCAATTGAGTTTTCGATGCAACATGTTTCTCGAGGAGTTTCGCAAATTCTTCATCGAAGCCACACTTCGCGTTAATTAAGGAAAAATAACTGCGTATTGTCCTTGTGCACGGAAGTGGCAGAATATTGTTTTTGCGCAAAAATTCGTAATCTCTTGGCGATCGGATGTTCAAAAGCATGCACAACATAATCCAGTCATCGGAGTAACGTCGACCTTTGGCGTCCTTTTTCCTTGCCGCGGCGATGATTTCCTGAACTACTAGTTTTTGAGACTTTGAGATGCTGTCTAACTCAGCTAATTTTTTATCCACAGCCGTATCTTGCATGCTTGCCATTTGTGCTTCTTGTGCTTTCATACACGTAATGAGATCTTTTACGTGATCCTTAGCTCGAAGTTTCTGACGCCTTTCACGTCTAATTTTCATCCGCATCGCTAATAATTTACGTCGATCAATGGGGTTTGAAATGTTACGAATCCGATTCATCGTCAGACGAATCTTCAGCCGTGCCTCTTGTTGCAATATGCATTTCCTCTACTTCATGCAGGAATCGCATCTTTTCTTCTTCGAGAGTAGAGAACAGCCTTTACTTCTCCACTTGTCGATGTTATCTTGATATGCCCCATTGACTACTATAAAATAGATACTAATGTCACCTAGGCCACTGCAGACGTTCATTCCTTTGAATTTTTCTAGTATGTCCTTAAGCATTTCTTTTTTCTTTAGAACACGTTCGAGATTCTTATCTTGTGGATAAACGTGACGACCATAAACAAAATATTTTAATATTCCGTCGATGTCAAGTGTAACACTTTTTTGTGCTACTGGACAATGCTCGCCGTTTTCGACCTTCATGATTGCGTATGTAAACAGCGTACATTGTACAATTTCAGTACGCATGTTGACCCAACTCCATCCCTCCGAAACATCGGCAAAGAAGTCATTACTGGTGCTCGCATTTTCTTCCGGTATTACTGGTATAATAAAGTGAAACAATTTTTATGAGCAGTGGTCAGTTTCCGTACTAATAAAAATTCGCAAGCTCTTATAATCATTATATTGCACCACTTACATTTCATATTGATTCGTTTCATAGCATATAAAGTATATTTTTTCTCGATTTTCATTACA